AGTGTGTTCAGTCTTATGGGAGGGAAGCTAATAATGAAGCATTGGCTGGGTAGGATATTTAAACAGCATCTTTATTTTTTTTATGTACATTTGTACTGATTTGGACCAGCATCAATCTGCTGGTGCCACTTCTCCAGAGCATTTCAGATATGGGGATTAATTCAAGACATGATGGTTTGCCTAGACTACATGGGAATATTGTAATAGTTAATTTTTCCTGTTTGCAAGCAAATAAATAAATAAAAGTAGACTTCTTACATTTGAGCACTGTAATAAACTGTTTCATGATTCTACCTAAATCTTACAAGGATGTGTGTAGAAGTCATTTGGAAGTACATGGCTCATCCTAACAAGTGCAAACCAACACATCTTGGTGGTTTTCCAGAATACTCTTATCTTCTGCATCTAACAGTTTAATTGTATTTCCTATGGCTTCTTGGATTTGGCTGATTTTATTCTTGTAAAATATTTTCTTTAGGAGAACTTGTTAGCACATTTAAATCTCTGAGTGACATTTATGTGCTACAGTCCAAAGGCACAAGGTAGACCGCCACAATTTATAATGTGTGTTTTTTGTTAGATGCTTTTTAACCTTATTCAGGCAGGCACATTAGGTTACAGATGGATATAGTAACAAGAGTTGCTGAGTTAACTTTTTTAAAAACTTCCAAAATAAATTTCATAGGCAGTGCACAGCCTCTTTAACTGTAGCTGTTGTGGATCTTTGAACACTGTAACTGAGCAGAGGTGGTGCTTTCAAGCTTAGCAATAAGGTCCTTGCTACAATTTTGTCACTAAGTCGAAATGGCAAGTGTGAATTAAAAAATAGTCTATAATCAAATATTTGAAATTTGTGTTGAACATTAACGTTGAAAGGTTATTGCCTTCATGCATATTTTTATATATTATTATGGGGTCCATAATTATCTTATCTAGCTGTGTTAGAATACATTTTCAGAGTTGTTGGTTGTAGCAGTGTTGGTCTAAGGACGTAGGCAGGCAAGGTTCTTTGGGTAGATGTGGTATCTCTTATTAGACCAGCTAAAATAGTTGGAAAAAAGTTCTTTGCAAGCTTTTGGGCACAAACACCTTCCTTCAGGCATTGGGAGACTCTGCTGCTATGAGTTCTCCAAACTAGAAAAAAAGCTAAAACTATGATTCTATGATAAGAAGTTGGTGAAAATGTAAATGAGTGGAAGCTTGGAATAAATGAGTAGGAATAGGAGGGGAAGGGAAGGAGATTGTATGAAGGAATGTAAGAGGTCAGCTTCAGGCAGGTTACCTGGTGAATTAATGTCTGGCAGGTTATAATGTCATAAATCCAATGTCAATATGAAGTCCATGATTTTTTGTATCCAGTAGATTTATGATGTAAAGTTCATAGGCTCATCTACAAAAGCTGTTTTGTTAAGTTATGAGTTCTCCAAGGTAGAAAAGAAGCTAAAGTGTAAGAAGAAGTCAGTGAAAATGTAAATGAGTGGAAGTTTGGAAGACAAAAGGAACTGCAGCAGTCTCTCCCAATGCCTGAAGAAGGGTGTTTGTGCCCAAAAGCTTGCAAATAACTTTTTTCCAACTATTTTAGTTGATCTAATAAGTGATGCTACATCTAGCACCTTGCCTGCCTATATTTTCAGTGGTCACTTCATTTTTACTTATTCTTTTTTTTTACGAAATGCATTCATTAACAAGAAAATTACATACTTGCAGGGAAGAAATTGTGATACTATTTTTTTAAATAGGAAAGACTTTCCTGCTTGTATGCTTGTTGGATTTGGAAAAATAGCTTGCTAGCTGCTGCTGCCAGAGATCATTAGTTTCTTTTCATGAGATGTTATTACTTGGTGAATATATACTCTTGCACTTCTCTAATCTTTCATTGAAAGCAGAAGATAGTAAAGGCGGTAATAAATTATCATTGATAGAAGTCCTGTAATCTGAAAGCAGTCAAGGTTTGTAGTAATTTAGTAGTAGGATTTATTGTTGTAAGCAGATAGTTACTGTCTTATTTGTGAAACTGTCCCTTGATACCAATAACGCAAACAATAGGTTTTATTGGGTTGAAATAATATTAGGCACAATAATGACAATGTAACAATGTGTATATTTTTTAAGGGAACATAATAAAAACTTAGAATACTGATTTACCCACAAACCTTCATTGGGCACATAAGGTTGTTTAAAATTATTTTGAAAATAAATTCACTTCTAGTTTATGTTTTCAGACTGAGTTACCAGTTACTAAAATGGAGTACTAGTCTGAAAAATGACTGAAAGTGGCACCTTCTTATTAAATAAGCTTGTTTGTATTCATAGTCCTGCTTGCTTTTTTGGCTAAAATAAGTTGTTACTATTTCTTACTTTACAATACCCTCTTCTCAAGCAGGCTCAGTTGCAGGGGAAAGGATCTGGATTTTATTTTGGTTTGTATATCACAAACAGAACTGGTAACTAAATTCAGAATAAAGAATCCTTTTTCTGGTGATAAATCCAAATGTACCTCAACAGTCAGATTCCTGGCTGAGTTGAAAGGACTAGCATTTCTTTAAAAAAAATAAATCTGTGACAATATACAAATTACATTCTCAGTATTGAGCAGGTGCCAGCATAGCAGTTGGGACAGTAGGTCATGATTATAGTAGCTATACCACTGTGTAAAGTGCTAACACTGTGGTAGAGTTTTCAGATTTGTCTCAATGATTTTTATTCCATTTACATCTTTTTTTTACCTAATTATTTAATTTAATATCACTAGTATATTGCTTCATTTTCCTTGATCTCTTTATTTTGTTTGACCATATTTTTGTATTTAGTGTTTGACTTGGCAGCCCTAGTGATGAAATACCCATTTTTGAGATTACTGTCAGTAAAATATATCTGTTTATCTTCAGTGAGTGTGGATATTTTCCTAACACTACTGGAATGCAGAACTATTCCCAAAATGTGAAATCTTCATTAAGGGAAATAAGTGTGCAAAAAAAGTTTTTATATACTATTTTTTTACAGTAGAATTATAAAATAGAGAACTGTTAGAAGGCTTCAACTAAAAATTATATGATTTTAATTGCGGAAAATAGAGTAGTTTGCATTCTTAACGTCTCCTACAAAAATAAAATGGTTAAATTATTCTGTAAAATATGGAAATGAATGTTAATTCCTTTTTAGATTCCAGAACTTGTTTATTGCAAATGGTTTTCTTTCCAGGCATGAATCTGAGCATTCTGGCCACAAATTATTTTTGATAGAGAAGCCTGAAATGCCTTATGGAATAAGATAAACTTATACCCAACTTACGCCTCCAGTGAAGTCTTATAATCCACATCGGATCAGGGTACAATTTCTTCTGGCAGTCCTAGGTTGAAGGAGAATAGTTTTCAGGGAGAATGTCCTTTATATAGGCAAAAACAAGTGAATTTGGAACATTCACAGTCTTAAAAGGATGTATTTTATTAAATCATACTAAAGACTTCTGGTTTAACTAGATCCATGGGTTCCATGTGGGTACAAAAATGATCTGTGTAGATCTATTTGCAGGATTAGGTCCTTAGAGACTATGCAAAATTGATACATTGAGGCCTGTTGACTTGATTCAATGCCTTGCCTTTTTCATGAATAAATTTTTAGATTCCTATATGTGTAGCATTTATTTTATCATAATAAAACGTAGCTTCAATCATCTGTCAAAGTGTCCTCTATTTTTACATGCTGCTGGTTGTACAGTTTACAACTGTAGAATACACTCTT